TGCTGCTTGGTTCCATAGATCTGGCCGGGCTTGGACAGGTTTGGACGCTGCGAGCCCCTAATGCCTAGCTTCTCGATAGCAAAAAGTCCCCCAAAATGGGTCTGTCTCAAAATAGGAGGCTCTTAAACATGTGTTCCCCTTTAATTTCCGTTCAAACAAACCTTGAAAAGACCACCTTCAACAAAAGCTATACTCATCTGAAGTCCTTCCGGATTCATCGTTTCCGGCCGGGCTTCTTGAATTGTGCCCCGCCTGGATCATCCGTTCTGCATGGCCCTGGTCTCGGTTTTCCGTTCGCTCCACCTCACGGAACAGTCCGGGATCGATATTGAATTGGCGACCCGAAGACATGCGGACTGGCAATTTATCGCTTCACCAAACCAAATATCATGCTTCCGAAGTGCTCGGCAAGTCGAGGCTTGCATGCAGGTATGGAATGGGGGTGCCGTGTCATCCTTTTTACAATGACAAAGGATGCACTGCTGGACCTTTACGTGGTTGACCACAAGCTTCGAGCATCCCAAACATCTTGCTTGGTTTCCATGGTGGGCTTGCTCAGAGCTTTGTTTTCGGAGCCACTTCAAGCAGGGTGTGAGACACCGGCAATCTTGTGGACGCACAGCTTGGCGAAATCAAGGCCTGAATCTCAGCGCCAGTAAGATGCATGATCTCCCGCACGGTTTCGCCGCCCCTGCCAATGACCTTTCCAGCCTGCCAGCGGTGGGAGCTGTGGCAAAGGTCAACCATTCTCTGGTCTATGCCCTGAGCACGGTGTGGAACACTGGATGGCTGTCAATGGTGTTTGACATACTTTGTGGTGGGTCAACTTGCAATGATTCAGGGGTCCCCGTGTCCAAGCATTCTGTTGGCGGAGGCACTACCTTCCTGCCACCTTTATTTGCAACTCTTGCCAATCGCCTAAAAACCATCCACTAAAACTAATAAAATAATATAGACACTAGTATAGATAATGCGCGAGGAAATGCTGTCTTTGCAAAGATCCTAGATCTGGTGCGAACTGGCAGCGTTCATCCGATGTCCAGCTGTGGGGAGAACATTGGAAGGGCGGCTTGCAGCTTTGCGAGAACGGGCACCCGCCCTTGGCAACAAACACCTTCACTCATTGAGACCTGTTCCTCGCGTTAAGTCCAAAACGCTGCAAATGAGGGACAGTCGCATACTGTGCCTTGAACAACATGCCCGTGACTTGGAGTTTCCCAAAAAGTGAGTCGCATCCTTTTGGCGTCAGTTGAAAACAACCCAACAAATGAACGCATCCTTTCTTTTTTTTCGGGGGGAGGCCGACCGACCAATTTGAGACAAACTTTTTTCAGGATTGTTTATAATGCGCTATGACAAAAGCGCACCCAGCGCAAGCCGCTTCGCCTCCTTGCCAAGGACCCAAAGCTTGAAGCCTTCCTTGCCTCCTGGAGTGACATGTGAGCTGACAATGGTACAAGAGTATCGGTTTTGGTTACCGGTTTTGTCAGGTAATCAACTGCGGGCCACTTACAATGAAAGGGTTCGAGTTCAAATTTGGACCCTCATGCCATCCCCAAAAGGGTCCCCCAAAAAGGCATCATCTTCTTTGTTCAACACTCACATTACTCACATTGCCATAGAACCCGACCTTTGGGCCGGGTCGCAAAGAGAACATGGCTTGAATGGAAGAACCCAATGATTCACAACATGACTGAGTTCTATGTCAACGAGGCCTCCTCCCCAAGCAGAGTAAGCTCTTGGTTCCTGAAGAACTACTTTCAAACGGCACGATGCTCTGCTTTTTTTCCAATCAAACACCGCCCGCTTTCCACGTTAGAGCACGGCCTCTAAGGTAGTAACAAAAACTCACCAACTTAACAGCGCCTAGCGTTTACAGGAACACCTGCTGCTTCACAGCAGGGTGGAACTGGCTAGATCCGTCAATATTTATCTTGACAAGACTGCCAGGTTCTGTGCAAAACCTGAGTCCCCGCAACTGCGCCACGCATAATCGAACCTGGCTTCACCTCTTTCGTAAATGTCTTTGTTTGATATGTCACTGAGTGGTGCTCGTGTGTGCAGTTCGCTGGCATGTGCGCGTGAGCGGGTGCGCTTACCAGTTGGCAGGCGTGTGTGCAGTTGGTGCTTACCAGTTGGCAGGCCTGCGTGCAGTTGGCTGGCACGCGCGTATAAGCGGGTGCGCTTGCCAGTTGGCAGGTGCGTGTGCAGTTAGCTAACACGCGAACATGAGCGGGTGCGCTTGCCAGTTGGCAGGCCTGCCTGCAGTTGGCTGGCACGCGCGCGTAAGAGGGTGCGCTTACCAGTTGGTAGGCGTGTGTGCAGTTGGCTGGCACGCGCACATGAGCGGGTGTGCTTACCAGTTGGCAGGCCTGTGTGCAGTTGGCTGGCACGCACATGTAAGCGGGTGCGCTTACCAGTTGGCAGGCGTCTGTGCAGTTGGCTGGCATGCGCGCGTGAGCGGGTGTGCTTATCAGTTGGCAGGCATCTGTGCAGTTGGCTGGCGTAAGCGGGTGACGCGCGCGTGAGCGGGTGCGCTTGCCAGTTGGCAGGCGTCTGTGCAGTTGGCTGGCATGTGCGCGTCAGCGGGCGCGCTTTCCTGTTGGCAGGCGTGAGTGCAAATTGGCTGGCATGCGCGCGTGAGCGGGTGCGCTTACCAGTTGGCAGGCGTGTGCTCAGTTGGCTGGCATGTGCGCGTGAACAGGTGTGCTTACCAGTTGGCTGGTCAAAACTGCGCTCCGATCCACGGCGGAATATGAGCCGTGGGCCAACTACTCTCAAGCCTCCAGCCACTTTAAAGAGCTACATGGCAAAACTTGTTGTGGTCGTTGGCTTCTGTTTAAGGATCCATTAAGATTGTCGCCGTTGTCTCTGAGTCCATGCGAGTTGTTAGATCACTCCTTCTTTCCAAGACACCAGTTACTTTCCTTGCACCGTTTGCCCCATGCTTTCAACACCTGTCAAACGACTAGTTGGCTTCCTTCAGAACCACTCAAAAAAGGCCAGGAAATTGTTCACATTGGCGTTTAAACCCCACAACTAGCAACAGGCCCCTCCCCGTCAGGCCGCGGCCTGACAAAGGAGGACCACCGCCAGGTCCCATCTTGGCTTGTGCAAGCTTCTTGCAACTCGAGCAAGGTTGTTGATGAAGAGGGGGATCCCAATCCAAAGGAGGATCCGTCACTTTTAGGGGATTCACACACGCCCATATTTCTAGAACAAGGAAAGCTCGCGCAAGTTAGCCCTGGAAAAAAGACTTGTCCCCCAAAAGGGCTTGGTAAAATGGGTGCGCCTCCCGCATTTTGGCTGCAAAATGTGGGCTTTCTCTCATGTCCTCCCAAACCAACATTAGACTATATATATATATATATCAAGTAAACTTACATACGCGCGACGGTTAAAGCACATTGCATGGCTGGCTGCCATCGCTGGCACGGGTGTCGCTCTTCATGGCCCCCCTGTCGCTCACTACACTGGCAGCTCACTTTTCGCGTGTCCAGCTCGAACATCGCAACATTGTAGTACAAGTCTAGTACGCGAAGTACACTTGCAGCTCCGGCTCGAATATCGCAACTTTGGGGCACAAGTGTAGCACGCGAACGGCCAACTGCCTACTTGAGGGGCCATGGGTGTTGCTCCGGCGGCCGGATTCTTCCCGGAATCAGGGGCTGCCCACAAATGCAACTCATGATCCAGAATCCGGCTAGCCCTAAACAGGGGCGTCGCTTTTCATGCCCCTGTCGCTTTATACATTGTACATGTGTTTCAACAGTTTGGTCATGTCATGGCGGCCAAAGTAAAGTACTCCTCATGGCTGATTGGGAGGGAGGGGTGCTTACAACTCCTGGCCAGATCTCAAAGCTAAAAGTCCACAGCTCTAAGAGCTGCGCTGGCCGGCCTTCATCCTTGAGGACGGTGCCGTCCAATAGCTTGCAGTGGCTGACCTTCGATTCAAACATTCAGCTGGTCGTGGTTTCTTATGCAATTCCAACAGAAGGGAACTCACCTATGAAAGGAAACTGTAGGGTCCACGCGTGGGCCCTATTGACATGGGGCTCCCTATATCGCCCCTTTGAATATAGCCCAAGGACGTGCACTTTAAATTGGCCCAAAAGGCTTTGCCTTATTTACCAGAAAATTGGGAACCCGGGAACCCTGCCAAAGAGGAATGCAACGGCTTGCTAGTGGTGAGTGGAGTCTTACGTCATCCCGTTCACAAGGGTCGAACAGTACCCATCTAAATATTACTTAGGGTCCCTTTGGTGAGCCTTTACGTGGGTGGCAGTGAGGGTGCTCTAATGACTGAGATTCAGAGCAAATCTAAGGAATGCAGTCTGGCAATGAGTCGCCGGCCTCCTGTAACACTAATTCCTTGGCGCGCTCGATTGATTCAGGTCGGCCAGAGATGGTGAGTCGACCCTGGCACGGCCATGGGGTCGAATGGGTTTGTCTCAAAGTGGACACTGCAACATGGGGAAATTGCAGTTTCCTCTGGGTTTCCCTTTAAACCACCAATAACAACATGCTGTCAATAAAAAGACATCCCCCAAATCTGGATGCCAGCTTGCACTTGCGCTGGTGCGAGCGTGCATTTGCTTGCTTAACCCTTCTTAATTGCGGGTGGATCACTTCTAGGAGTTGCACCCATGCACACTTTATTCGCAATGGAACCTGACTGGGGTGGGCCTGAAAGAGGACAGGAGGGAAGTACTTCATTAAGTCGGTATGTGCATACGCAGCGAACGAGCATCACCCCGGCCATGCCCCACCTCTGCTTTGTCGATTTCTAGTCTGGCACGAGACTCGTCCTCGTTGGAATGGCCGGAAGGACTGCGAATGCTGGAAATGACTCAATGCCTCTTGCTTCAGAGCTCATGTCTCACATATTTTCCCCTTCGAAACATCACAAGCTCAACTTAAACACATCCCCCCAAAGGTGCTGACGAAAAAGCCATCCGAAGGGGGACAAATATGGAAAAGCTGCCCCACAAATCGAGTGATCACACGACCGAGCGCCGCTCCTCGAGTCTTCGAATGGTCTCCCCGCCACGCCCAAGCACGCGGCCCACCTGATACGCTGGAGACTTATGCCACCGAAGGGAGTCCTAAACTTGGGATACATGTTTGTCCGTTCACTTTTTTGGGATGGGTTTGAATTAGAACAACAGCTTTCGAAGCCAATGTCATAGTACCGAAAACTCGAACTCACTTCCAGCAGCAATGAGTCAGCAGTCCAAGTTGTTTTCTGGCTTGAAATGTGCTACCAACCCACACAAGTTTTCACGGGTAATTGGCCAAATTTATGTTTGTTGCCAATGAGCCTTGTTCTACTTTAAAAGGTACTACCAACCCGCTGACCCCACGCTGTGTGCCCTTTTGGGGCTGATTGAAAGGACGCCAAATGAAAACCGCCCATTTTGGGACTTTTTCAAAGCCCCGAATGCTGAGTGCCCTGCTTCGTTGCAGCTGATCTGCAGGATCAGCGCTTCCCCAGCACCGGGAGCTGGCACCGATGCGCCATCCTTCAGAACCTGAACAGAAAACCTCTCCGCTAGCACATGGGGGTTGTCTCCAAATGGTACGTGCTCCCCCCTACAAAAAGATAATTCGTGATGTCTGTTGACTTGCCTCTCAAACAAAGCCAGAAAGTGCTACCTTTCAATGGAAAGAGACACATCAAGACATGCGCTGAAAACCATGGCGATGCCGCAGTCTGGTTGGCTTCCCCGAGGTTTTTGACAATGCGTTCAATGTCGATTGTCCCTTTGTTGCTACCCTTAACGGAAACACCATTTTGGGGGTCGCCAAGACACATCCACTTAATGGCCAACTCCCCGCGGCACTTCAAGCGGCGAGCCACCTTTCCATCCTCGTCCCGCACGTAGTTGGCCACGTCGAGTATCTGACAAACAACTCCACGTGTAGAGCTTCATGCTGCTAATCCCTGCTTGCCAGCTTCAAACGAACACTAGTTCATGCAGGGGCCATCGCCTGATTGACAAACACGCTCTGGCCTGCTCTTCCCCTGTGCCTCTCCAAACTCTCTAATTTCAGTACCCATACCCTCCAGCGGTGCTTTGTTCCATCTTTTCCACTGTTTCCCTATCCACCCGAGTGGGGCTCGTCTGTTTTTACCCTTCAAGCACCTGCAGTCCCAAACACTGAGATTAAGACTACACCCAAATGGGGTTGTTGTTTCTTCACTAAATTACCCTTTTGGGGTTTGGCTTACAAGGAAACCAAACTGAAACCCACCATTTGGGGGGTCCCGCTTTAAGACCCACGCCACATACTGGAGGGGGGGCCCCGTTGCCCCAATCCGCGCCCGATCCAGCGCTGCCCTCCGCTGCCGGGCGTTGCCGATGATGTCCACCCAGCGTTCCTCGCGACGTGAAGGCCGAGGACCGTAGACGCCGCAGGCGTCAGGGCCCCAGGGGTTTCGGATTTGAATAATCCAAAGTGGAGAGGTGCTCTGAGATTGAAACAACTTGGCAATGAGTTGGAATGAAATACCGGGGCACAAATGGTGGGTGGTTGCGTCAGTGCCCATGTAAATGATGCCCACCAGAGGTTCCCGAAGCAGAAATCATACAGAAGCAGGAAGGAGTTGCGCTCAGTCCTGCAACAAAGTACGTAGCACAGAAATTGGAGGGTCCCTTCCCCAGGATCCCAAGTCAATTATGCGATGTCGGGGAAGTCGGTGGATGATTTTGCAAGCACATCGTCACATTTTACAACAAAATCCCTCAGCAAAACCTGATCCCTGCCTTCTTGTCTGGATCCATGTCCTCCTCCCTTTGGATTTTGATATTGGCCTGCGAGCGCTGCACTTACGGGATGAAGGCCCTGACGGACCTGACGGACAAGCTTTCTAGATCTTGCCCTGCACTGGGATTCGCATCCGACTCAAAACCTCACATTGAGTGGATGATTGAAATGTTGCATCCTTTCCTGGCCTCGCCGTTCAAGAACAAACTAGCTACCACCGCAGCATCCACACGGCTTTTCGGATGATGCTTTGACTGCGCTTCAGGACTATAAGGCTCTGCGTTGCTTACGCTCGCCTCTCTTTGCACACTGCAAAAGTGAAAGTATAAAGCTAGGGACCGTAGGCGGGTACCTGTGTACATTGGTGAGTGGATACTACCAGGTCTGAGGCAAAAACAAAAATAAAAACTCATGCAATGTCACCAGCCCGAGCATTGCATGCGTCGCTCATGATGCGGGAGTCATCAGTCGGGAATGTTCTTGCAATTCTGCTGAATTGCGCACGCCCTGGGCTTTCTTGAGCGCGTAGAGTATTGAATGCTTCTTATTTCGCTTCAGCCAGCTCCACTCCTACTATCCCCGGCTACTCTCCGTAGAGCTTTCGATCGGCATCCGCTTCCGTCTTGAAGGTGAGTTGCGAGGCGCCCATGGCGCCAAGATCCACCTTGCCCGGCACGAGTCTGTATGCAGCAACTGCATTTCCCAGGGAAGTGGTTTTATGCAGGCACTGGCAAGTGTTTGGAATGATCTGGTCAATTCAAAATGGTCTTGCAGCAGCTTGGACACGAAAGTTGCCTCCAAAGTTCTGGACTAAATTGTGTGTCTCAAATTTTGAGGATGCCCGGTGCTCAGATTTGTTTAAACGGAAAATCAAGGAACGACCACCATTTCCGTGGCCCCTGATTTCGAGACAGCAACTCGCATTGAACTCCTTGAAGCATCTTGGAGCGACCAAGAGATCAACGAAACCAACCAAGCCAGTCTACTCTCTACCATGGAAGTGCTTGTCCACGTCCATGATTGTTGATATGACTGGAGAAAGGGTACCAAACAAGTCTGTCAACCAACCAAACTATTCAGGAAGGCAGGCAGGTAATTAGGCCAATGATGGCCAATGCCAATGCATAGCAAATAACCAATGCAAGAAACCAAGCCGGCAGCCAAGCAAACAAACGATCAAGCAGCCACGTAAGCCAGAGCTATCAAAAAAAAGAAATAACGAGTGATTGAAAGCTCGCCAGCCCAAATGCAAGACCTCAGCGCCGGTTAGGCTGCAGACCACGAGCTTCTTGGTGATATTTTGCCGGTTCACCCCGATACTGCTCGCCCACATTCTGACCTCAAAAGCAGGACCGTCTCAACAAAGTGCCTGTCTCTCTTAGCCATCCTCTTCCAGTTTAACAAAGGGGAACTAAAGCAGAGTCATTTGTGTTCTTGATTTGACCGCCCGGTTCAAATGCAAAAGAGGTTGGGATCCAGAATAACATAGAATAACTAAGAGTACGAATTCTGGCCCCTGAGTAGAATCTGTGTCATTTCAATCAGCCACTCAATTTGCCCAGCTCAAAGTGGCCAACACCCCCATGCACTTGGTGCCGTGGCGCATTGGACCCATGATCCCCATTCCAAAGTCGGGAAGACATGGCTCGCGTGGGTTCCCTCGCACCCTCTTGTACCCAACATGTAACATGTAAACAGAGGCCGCTAATACGCCGACGCGTGCTCACCGAGGCCGAAACGGCATCTTGGGCTGGATTTCCGCAGGCTTTCAACAAGTCCTCCTGGAACTCCGGGTGCAACACCAGCCTAGGCGTCAAGGCGTCAGTGCACGTGTCCCAATGGAGTCCATCCCATCCAAAGGCTTCCCAAGGCTCGGGGTTACAGTCAATCATGCTCTCCCTATGCCACACCCAGTGCTTCCAGTTACCAGGTTGCCACTATAGTGCCTAAGCATTGCGTAGAGGTAGAAAACCCCGGTTACCTCTAGGTGGAAGCACTGAGACACACAGGAGTTGCCTCGGATCCGTTGCCAAGCATAAACCTCTGGGTGCAGGACCACTTGAAGAACCACGCTGATACGTACATGGGCCCGGCGTAGCCGGATCCAAAAGGGTTGTTACCTGATTGCGCGCAACGGGAAGCCACTTTGGAAAAAGGTCCACACGGAAACCTCTTAGCGCCCCTGCAAAAACAATCAACCAGGGCAAAGGATTGTCTCAGGAATGGAGTCGCCCGGTCTTATCAGAAAACCCTTTCCGGGGTCCACCATGTTTGATGGTCCTCCGACCTTCAAAAGCGTCATCTGTGGCCCTGTGGCCCTGAGGCTGCCACGCTGCGAGATGTCGGGCAGCCCCGTCCTCTGCATTTGAAGAATTCCCTGATACAAGGCCTGGCAAAGCTGATCCAGCTGTGGTTGTGAGCTGGTCTACCCTGGAAATTGCTACAATACTAGCTCGAGATCGCTTCAAGCAGCAGGAAAGCACAGCAAACAGCAGCTTGCAAAGCAGTCGAGTCTGCAAGGAAGTACTATCAAAACAGTGCGAAATGCGTTGTTTTTTTTGAGTGATCCGCTGGCATTGAAATTTCAGGAGAGACAGTGCCTCCGAATGACTTCGAAGCATGCTGCATGCTTCAAGGTTGGATAATCAGAAAGAGTTTTGTATGGAGCTCCAGTTGACAAAGAGCTCCTGCCCTGCCATTTAGAACTTGTTTGATCCCATATTCCAGAAAGAGGATGAAACAAACGAGAAAGCAAGCACACACCCAGCTTGGGAAGGGCGGTGGCATTCTGTCACAAGACGTTTGGCATACAGCACTGTTAACATCAGAAAATGAAACGGGCCATCAAAGGCAACCGATCAAATGCTGGTGGAAACGTGACAAGCTGCTCTCCTTCTCTGACTTGTCACTGGAAGGAATGGAAAGGCATCATGTGCATGATTACACGACTCAACATGTATTCAAGCTCCTTACCGCATTCAGCACTATTGGGCCTGCAGGGTTCGATCACCAAATAATTGTTTCGAATTGGGCATCTGCATCCGGCTGCTTTCCCCTGCACGCTGCGGACAAGAACAATGGGCTCGCCATGTGGTCAAATGCGTCCGGGGTCAAGTGCAACGGTGCCCTGCTTGCGCCTCCTCGCTGACTTGCTCTTCTTCGGCAATGCGGCCTTTGGCACTGCCGAATTGTGCACCATCCAGCAACGGCTCCGCGCCATACCTTCAGAGATGTGCGGGACCCAATGGCCTTTGCAGAACCTGCAACGTATAACTTGGTGACCAACGCAATCAGTCTTCCAATAGTGACCCATAAGCAAACATCCGTGAATCCATGACTCATGGAAACAACATGCTGCCACCTTTCATTGCTTGCTTTGCTGAATGCCACCTTGATGCCACACACAAACACAAACACACACACAGTCGAACAGACACACACACACAGACACAGTCAAACACACACACACAAACAAAAACACGCAAACACAAACAAACACAAACAAACACAAACAAACACAAACAAACAAACCAACAAACAAACAAAGCAAACCAAAGAAACAAAGAAAACCTACCAACCAACCAACCAACCAACCAACCACACACACACACACACACACACACACACACACACACACACACACACACACACACACACACACACACACACACACACACACACACACACACACACACACACACACACACACGCGCGCGCGCACGCGCACACGCGCACACGCACGCACACGCGCACGCACGCTTGATGGGAGACAGACAGCGAAACCGTGAGGCGCATCCCAAAGCAATTCCCAAAAGGAGTTTCGGCGTAGCCCACGCTTGATCGTCTTTCCCTTCGCTAGCCCTCCTCATCAGGGACGCCAGCAGAGCTGAACGTCAAGTCGTTTGCTATGGTGGCGTCCGACTCTAAAAGAGAAAGAAAGACACCAAACAGGGGGCCCGTTAGGGAACAGGGGGCGCACAAACACACACACACACGCGAAAAAGGAAAAACGCAGGGACATGGCGCGCCTCCGTCTTGCATTGCGATGGGATATTTTTGACGTTTGTAAACTGCGCGCCTGCGCGCTAGCGCGCGGACCTGACTTGAGGCCGGGGGCGCCGTAGCGTTGCAAACGGTGCTGACTTCACGGCCGACAGGTTAGCCTTTGGATCGACCGTTGATGGAGACGTAGATTCCCGAAGAAGAGTTCGAGATTGACACCTGTGGACCTGGTCCTTGCCACCGGTGAGCGGCGAGGCGCGGGCCCTGCCGGGGAGCCATGCGCCCTGCCGAGTTGGAGTTGGACATGGGACCTGCGTCAGGGCTCCTCATCAGGGGCCGTCGCAAACGAGCCAAGTATGCCTGACAGGAGACGGGTCCGAAAAGGGAAAGGTTGGAGGGACATGGGTGTCTCGATAGGGTTTGGGTGAAACATCAAAGTATGTAGTGAAACTTGGTCCAGGTCAACAAGGTCAGTGGCAAAGGTGTGCATGAGACAAGTCGAGTGCCCCGTAGGGTTCACAACACTGACCGTAGCTCGGAAGCAGTGCCGGTACACACTTCATGGGAGACAGCGAAACCGTGAGGCGCGTCCCAAGGCAATTCCCAAAAGGAGTTCCCAAAAGGAGCCCTCCTCGTGGAGACGCCAGCAGCTAGCGAAGGTACTGAACGTCAAGTCGTTTGCTATGGTGGCATCCGACCCAAAAAAAGAAAGAAAGGCACCAAAAAGGGGGCCCCTTTGGGAACAGGGGGTACACACACGCACACACACACACACACACACACGCACCCACACACACACACAGGCACGCACCCACACACACACACACGCGCACACACACGCACACACACGCACACACACACGCACACACACGCACACACACGCACACACCCGCCCGCCCGCCCGCCCGCCCGTCCGCCCGCCCGCCCGCCCGCCCGCCCGCACACCACGCCGCGCAGAGCCACGCGCCACGCGCCACGCGCCACGCGCACGGGCACGGGCACGCGCACGGGCACGCGCACGCGCACGCGCAGACGCAGACGCAGACGCAGACGCAGACGCAGACGCAGACGCAGACGCAGACGCAGACGCAGACACAGACACAGACACAGACACAGACGACACAGACACAGACACAGACACAGACAAACACAAAGCCACAGCCACAGCCACAGACACAGCCACACAGCCACAGCCACACAGCCACAGCCACAGACACAGACAGAAACACAGACAGAGACAGAGACAGAGACAGAGGCAGAGACAGAGACAGAGACAGAGACAGAGACAGAGACAGAGACAGACACAGACACAGACACAGACACAGACACACCCACACCCACGCACCCACGCACCCACGCACCCACGCACGCACGCACGCACGCACACGCACACTGCAGTTCAAACTCCTGCCATGACCGGGCTGTCGGTCAAAGTCAATATCAGTTGGACCCCTCCAAACCGTTTTCGCTTCACGGCGATTTTCACCGTTCCCAAAGGGTTGCAGCTTCTTTAACGCCCCTGCGCAGAGTTTCTTGTATGTCCCCTTTAAACGTCACCCCGCCAAAGGGAAAGTCACTTAACGCTATCAACCAAAAGGGGATCTTTGAACCACTGCCCCCTGTTCCACCGTTCTCTAGGACGAGGACGTCTCTCTCCCTGTCTCTCCGTTTTGGCGTACGCCATGTTGAAGTCCAGCACATCAAAGGAGTGGATGTTCCTTCGACCGGAGATCCTTGGACTGGCTGCACCAAGTGAACTTAGTGGGGGGCACCTTCAATTTCCGCAAGCTTCAAAGGCTAAAGATCACAAGTGAAGCACTCGGAGCCTCGGTGCTGGGGACAAACGAACCAAAGACGCACCAAGAATCTTCGGGACCTCGTCGTTCAGGAGGAAGCCCGTTGCCTAGGAGAGACAAATGTCTTGCAACGAGCCCCAAGGGTGCTGTCTTAGGTTGCACCTGTGCGAAGCCTGGGTCAATTGAAAGCAATCAGGCTCTGCAAATTCTGACCTTGACTCACGCGACGAACGTAAGCATGGCCTTAATGATGATGTCACAGTCCAGCTTGCTACCATCCTCATAGACTGAGAGTAGCACATCTGCCACAAAAGCACAGTCAACTGTGTCTGTACATCTGCAACAATACATGTGCCTTAGAAGGGTTGAATATGATATCAAGTTGATTGCAAGAACATGGTTGCACATGCATCTAAAGCAAACGTGCCAATCCAAACCCTCCCACAACTCACGCTGCTGTCCTTGAGGACCACCCCGTGCCCGTCGTTCCGGAATTCCTTGATCTCGCCAACCCTGTCATGTCATCTGCATGCCAGCGCAGGCCACGCTAAACTGCCAAAGGACTCGCCAAAGCAATGCGAAACTTAAGGACTGCAATGCGGAAATAACTACCGTCGAACAGAATGGCTATCGGCTATCGAGTTTGAACATTCCAAACACCCAGTAGACTCGACATGCCAGGTGAGCCTCAGAGTTGCTAGCCCGTGGTAGCCGGCGATGAAGGCGAGATCTGACACCTGCGGTACCAAGTCCGTTCTACCCTCCAAGTTGCTTGTCCCAAGATTTACCTCTCCTCAGGTCCCATTAACCTGCAGCTACAGCTACTGCTGCGCCCAAGTCTTTCATCAATAGCCACCATGCTGAGCTTGGTCACATAACAAACCCTTTACCAATTTTCAACACTACATCCTTTCACAGGGCAATGATGCTGCCCCTTCAACCGCACAACGCAGCGGAGCAACTCAGACCGCGGCCGAAATCGTGTGATTGTGCGGCTTCAGCAGGCCTTCAGCCCAACCTAGCAAATCCACCCAGCAGAATCAAGGGAAGATGAGAACGGGCAGCTGTCAACCGAAACTGGAAGCGGCCAATGTTCCACCTGACATCTATCCATCTGTGCTCCCGGCACTCAGGTGTTGGCAAACCCGCATCCTCATAGCACTTCTTCCAGGCATCGAAGCTGATCATGTTCCCCGACTTGCCAGTGTTGTAGTGCCTTTGCGAGAATCCGAATCCCACAAAATGGCCCAAATGGGGGGGAAGGGGGGGGGAAGGGATAGTGATTCCTAATCAGAATCCGTAAGCCGTGGTGGGACACCGCAACAAGGGACACCACCATCAGCTCGCAGCCAGTCAGAAGCGATGTCCCATTCTGATGTCATCGGATCCCTCGCAATATAGGCGCCGAACTCATCCATCGGGCGCAGAAAGGCGATCACATCGATCCTGGCTAATATGAGAGCACGACATTCTGCTAAAAGATGCTAAAAGGCTAACAGGAACTCAGGTTGCTTCATCGAACCTCGCCAAGCCCATCAGGAAGCCTTCCCACAACACAATGCAGAACCGCAAGCAAGGTAAACACCTGCCCATCCCAGGCTGACCTTTTCCACCAGCATCCCCACTCATCCCACTCCAAGAACCGAAGACAGGTCCACAAATTGGGGCCGACGTTCTCGGCCCTCAATCGTTTGCTTGAAGGGACCCAAGCCCAGATCCATGAAGTCAAGCATGCCGGTGGCCGACCATTTGGGGCAGGTGGTCCCGGCTCGCCGCCCTAGCATGGTCACCTGGGCAGTTGCTTGTTTGTGTGGGACCTTACCACGTTTTACTCGCCTACGCCACGCCGCCGCCTATACCAAAAGCGACCACTCCCGCAAAACAGCCTATGTGAGACCCAAATTGACTAGACGCCTGCCTACGCGCCTACGCGACAATGCAAGTCTGCAAAGGAAGGCCGAGGCCGGAAGGCCCCCCCGATTGGATCTTAGATGAGCCTACGCGAACTCTGCTGACTTGTTTGAATTTGGGAAACGGCGATAGATGTGTTGGTCACGCAGGGCTTCGCAAGCCGTCAAACCATCCCCGCAACCACGCTTCACATCATTTACTCCTTCATAAGCACACCACGTGGCATGTCAACCTAGTAAGCCGTCGCCCGCGCGACTGCCAATGCGAGGCTTCACAACACAAGCCTCTGTGAAATGCCTACGCACGCCTATGCGGTTGTGGCCCTGTCAGTCAATTGCCTACGCAACATGTGAAGAATGTCACCGCAAAGATGTGGGCCCTAACCCCTTTTAGAATGCTGCCCACCTGGGCGAGAGCGGCCAAAGTTATTGACACATGTTTTGGGGCCTGGGCGAAGTCTCTGGTGTTGATGAGAAATGTGGGTGGTCTCCCCTGCCCTCCTCGCACACAACACACAAATTTTAAATGAAACCAGGCGAAACCTGGTGTGCCGCGAACATCGATCATCGATATGCACTGAGTCTCTCGCATGCTTTGCCCCATGCTCGATCGCAGTACGCAGGTTCTCGTACCTCCGAAGATATCTAAGGCCAATTGTGCGGTTGTTCAACAGGGATCCCTCAGACATGCTGGGTTTAGCCCTGATCGGCTGTGAAGACCATTCAAAATGGTCTACAATTTGAGATTCATCTTGATGGATGAGGCATCGATGAGGCGCAGCAAGGCCCGAAGTTTAGTCAACGTGGCTTGTCTCTGAACTCAGCGCACGCAAAAGCGCCAGCTCCAACAACAATGACCTCAGGACTCCACACGAGATCTGTCTGCAATCTGCCAATTTGAGCCCCCCCCGAAAGACATGGTCTGGAGTGCACATTCAGAAACCAGCACCTCCCAACATAGACTAACTGCCTGTGCGTCAGTCTGGTGAACCTCGAGTAGTCTCGCAGCCACAGCTAGAGTCCTGGAGTGGAGTGAACCTGCAAAACTTGTGCGGAGGTGAAACCTCGCTCATGCCTTGGCAGGCCCACCCCGAAAATCCTACCTTTACCCACCCACCTGACTGTCCGGACACTCCTGAAAGACCACTTTACAAACCAAAAGTGGCCTCTAGCCTCTGTTTCCAACTCCTGTCGCTGAGGCTTCTGCGTGTTTGCCCCAGAACGTCAGTGGCAGCACCTCTCAGCGAGGTTGGGGGAAGTGCAAGCACCCTGGTCATTTTGGGAGGGAAGCCTAATTAAATGAGACTGGTTCACCCGCTGTGGATAGCTTAAGTGATTTGCCCAGCCCGATTGATGAGAATGAACTCCAAAGAGTGCGATTGCCCTCATGAGACTACCAACCGCTCAACTAGTAGCTTGGTAATTTGGGCTTCCCATGAATGCAACTTGCGGTCCGCCATGCCTCGTTGGCGTAGCCATACACACCTCAGCTTGCACCATACAAAAATTGACTTAGTGCAATCCATCCAGCGCAGCGCATCAAGCTTTGCACAAATGCCCATGTAACAGGACAATGAACTCCAGGTAGCAAAGGTATACCCGCTTTATCCTGGCTCTCGCGGCCACAAGCACAGAACTGCCAAGTCGCATTCCCCTCGAAACTTCTCCCGGCCAGGCCATTCCACGTCCCTTCCTCGGTGGTTTGAGCGTCAATATCGTCAATCGCATTCGATACAATGCCCAATAGATTCTGCACATTGCAAAGGATAAGTCCGCGACTCTTGCCAATTCGGCGGTTCGTGTGGAAGCAAATGCTCTTGCAGTGCGTCTGCGGAGAAAGCTGCAGCTATTGATTGGTCTGCATTGAATGCTACTAGGTGTAATCTGCACCGAAAACGTTGATCTGAAGTCAATGCAATCATTCGCCTGGCCAGATTCGCCCGTTGTCAGGTTCTTCCAGTGCACGTCATAGGACTTGTCCTTGGGATTCAGATTGCGGAAACCGGGTTCTCCTCGTTTCCTCATGGCAAATCACTCGAAGTGCCCTTTTCCTTGTGCAAACGGGAAAAGTGGCCCAGAGCTTTGGCACGTTCAATTTGCCCGTGCTGGCACTCCTCCTGGACCAGCTCTGCCTTCTCCAAACAAAAGGGGCGGAGTGTCTTTGATACTTGGCACAGGTGCGCGGTTGGGCAGGGACCTGACAAGGGCGAAGCGCCCTTTGATTAGTTGGACGACCCAACTTTTTGTGTGGGACTCCCAACCTGCGGCTGAACAAATCCCAATCATCCGCACCAAAACAAAAGCTCGCTGCGTACAGTTGCATGGCCAACAAATAGTCTAGTCTGCAGAGCTCTGAGCAAAGCAACCATCACCTATCGACGTGGCCAAGAAAACTTCCAGCGACCCTGAGCTGACTTTGCCAAAATTCGGGGAGCCCCGAACTGGCCGGTTTTCACTCAAGACCCGCCCAACCAGGGCACTTATGAGGCCGCGGCAGGTCGCGAGTCCACCTGCAGAGGGGTGTGGCTGCTCGCTGCTTGGGTTTGGGGGGCCTCTGCAAGCATCTCTGGGGGAACTACAGAGGATGGACAAAATCCTGCACCAGTTGGCAGGTAGTTTGTCCCAGCATATATTCATAGGGTTTCGTCCTCCCAACTCGTGCAGGACTTTGTTCATCCACAGTAGTTGTTGCAATGAGTTTGCTTGACCCGCAGTTGACCTTTTGGTGTATCGCCAAACAAAAACTGGTTGGAGGCCAGAAAAAAACTGGGTCCCCAACGTCTTGCGCTCATGGTACGATTCCCAGAGAGCTTGACAGCGTTTGCAGGCCAAGGGATTGTCCCCGAGGTGCCTTTTTGGGAGCATTGATGGCACTGATAAATGGATAGAATGTAACAAGCCGAAACCAGTGCCATCTGTTTTCCATCAAGCTGACCAAGGACTCTTACCCCTTGCTCATGTTCCTGGTTGCGCTGACTTCCTACGGACCAGTGGTTCAACCTGAACATTACCTCCAAAATGCTGGTTTCTTTGCAGGTCCGTTGCAAAAGGCAATGCGTTCAATGGCCAAGCTGCGGCTTAGGAGCCCTGTGGATTCGTCCAGATCCTTCGCTGCCAAAGGTCCCAGGCCTTTACGACCTCGGTGCACAGGCGGAACTTGCCGAAGGCGAACTTGGCCGCAACCTCGGAGCAACGAAGCATCCGGTGAGCCCTCGCTTTGAGGAAACCCTGCTTCAAAGCGAAAAATCAACAGAATAATCCGTTGGAATGGGAACACCCAAACAAATTCCTCCATTTGTTGGGTTCCCTATTCTCTTGGAGACACACCCACCTGGCTGTGACTCAACCCATAAGGCGGCCCCAACCGTCCTTGAAAGAACGACCAACTACACCTGGCCACACATACACACATACACACAGGTGGTCATCATGGAGTTCACCCCTTTTGCTTGGAGCGTGGACAAATACAGTGCCCCCTTACAGCCAAGCAGCCATCTTAAGTTTGACAGTTTGAATGAAGCTGTCTGGGTTATCACATGAAATGCAATAGGCATCAGGCCGTGAACAGGTCACGCATGATGTCGTGGGTGGGCGAGTGGTCCTGCGACGCGACACAAGCAAAACTCATCGCATGGCAATGGACGTGGCTGCATTGAAAGCCTCACAACAGTCATTCAACATCCTATCTAGCAGGTTGATGCTCATCCCCCAATTTGTCAAGTAAGCCCTCATGCATCACCACAGAGAGCAACAAAAGTTGCCTGAGCCCTCAATAGATACTTTCTTGACAGGGAAAGCCCCCAAAAAAACAATTCTTCCCTTTGGTCTTTCAACACGACTCTGAAAAGGGCACCATGAAAAACACAGACACTTCTTGCACCCTGTGCACCCACACTCGCCTCATTGGGCCTAGCTCCGGGTCCCTCTTGGTTCACCAAGCCTGAGTCGCTGAGTGAAGTCTGAAGGATGCAGCGCAATGGAATCTGCCTGAGGTCACATTTTTCAATACTGGAAGTAAGCCAACCACAAAGTAGGGTGATATTGTATGCAATAAGAAAACCCTCGCCCTCAGCTTGACACGTTCCTTTTTCTTTGCGAAAGTAAAGCAAGCAAACGGGAGTTGCCGATCCATTCCAAGTACTGCACAGGTGCCACCAGGGTGGCGTTTCACAGCAGCAATGGACTCGCCCGGAGCTTCCATGTCACAATCTACACAAATTATGGTGCCCCTTGAAGAGGAAATTGGTCTTCCAGCAGGATCCGCCCAATTCGGTTCTATTTTTGGTGGGCCAGGAAGCAGAATCACAGTCTCTGTCACGGGCCGCGAGAGAGACCGTCTGACCCGCTCACTGATGGCTTGCTGTATTCAAGTAGCGATACCCAACCTCGGAGGTGTTCACCCTGGAGAACTGGTTCGCATAGTACGTCCAGATCCTGATTCCAATCACTGCTGTCTCGTGGAGGATGCGCCGACAGCAAGAGAAGAAACCACGGTGTGAGCAATGTCAGCTGCATCCATCAGCAGGAAACTCGATCTGCATGCAAATAAGGAAGCATAAGAAAATCAAACGCGAGCATCACGGAAGGGTACCGAAACATGGAAGTAGGCCCCTTTTCCAAAAGGAAAGTCCTGAGTGGATCGCCTGAAGCCCCGACCCGCCGATCTGGGCGTATCTGTCGAAGACCAGCACATCCCTGGCCCGGAATTCGCCGAGCTTGATTCATTAGGTTTAAACCCATAGCGTATGCCAAAAAGCTTGGGTCAAACCGTGTCCTCCCCAAAAGCAAACAAATAAACAAACAAACCGACAAACGGACGGACGGTCGGACAAAAATGCAAAGTGAACACCAGAGGCTCATGGTGATAATCTGCCAGTTCGCGACACCAGTTTAAAAGGCCAAGGTTCATTTTAGGAAGAATAGTAAGAGATTCCAGAGGGTCATGACAACACATCAACGTGATTTGCATTGGGCAGTTTCCCTAGCAAGTGGCAACTGTGAATGCAAGGGTTTGTACTCAACAACATAATCAATATGATCTAGACCGAATCAGGGCGACTGTGATTGGTGATGCTGAACATCACCCCACTTTTCGGCTGCGCCGAAAGGCTTCAAACCATTTGTTCATGCTTCCATTCCCCCCGTTCTGCCAGATCCCCTGTTCCCGTGTTCCCCAGTCGATTCAGGGTTGGGAGGCTCCGAAGCAATGCTCGTGAGATTCACTTGTGAGGAGCAATGCTCGTGAGAGTCACTGGCGAGGAGCAATGCTCATGAAAGTCCTTTGCGAGGAGTTAAATTCTCTCCTTGGGGCGGTGGGGTAGATAAAAATCGACCCTCTGCGGGGATCGGCGTGGTTGATTTGGATACGCGCGACCCTTGGCGGGATCGGCGTGGTCGATTTTGGCGCGCGCGGCCCTTTGCGGGGATCGGCGTCGCCGATGTGCAAAAACTGAGTGATTTTTGTTTTTCGGTTTTGACATTCCCGGATGCACCCTCTGCGGGGTCCGGTTGCTTTTCTGGACCAATTCGCGCAGCCGCTGAATCTCTAACTTGCGGCCAGCACTTGCTGCCGCGGTTTTTGAAGCCCCCAACTGTTCTCGCGCAGCGCACATGTCTGCTTGTGAACCGAGTGCAACATACAGGTGCGCTGCGCTTTTCCAAACAGTGGTCGGTATCAAACCAGGCAACAATCTACTACCCTAGCTTGAGTACCCCTATGCTGATATGTACACCTGGGCAACCATGACGTCCAACTGGGTTTCCAAACAACAGCCACCGCGAAACACCAACGCCCGGGTCCCGTGCCTACCAGCTTCCACCATGGCCCTGGCGGCAGTCACCCCCGCCAGGCCAGCACCCACCACGATAGCGTCCACCTAAGCGCCAGAGGTGCATATGGACTTGTGAGTGATGTGGGGGTTTCTGTAGTTCTATATTGGGTCTATCAGACCCCATGGATGTACAAAGAATGTACACCCCTTAACTCCTTAGGCCTTCTCCTGCTCTCATCCGGAATTGAGTGCAATCGCCTGAAATGTACGCAATTGCTTGTGTTGTGGTAACCAAGGAATCCTAATGGCCATGCTTGTGGGGTCATGGGTGTGGCTACAAACAATTCCCAGCAAATGACCGTGACGCAAAAAAAGAAGCGGGGCTACTGACATTACATGATGCGGGCTCTCCGGTTGGATTGAAAATATCCGTGAAGGTCTTGCTACAAAGTTGACAAGTCCCCTGTGGACTTCCCAGCAAAAGTGATTCCCATTCCGCAATTCTTCCATTGACGTGGTGCACAGCAAAAACCTCATGGCAGGCCGCGGCGTGCTATCAAATATCACTCTAGGTTTCGTGTGCGCAGGGCTTATTCGGGCCTTCACCTTGGCGAAAGGGCCAAGAGAAAGCCACGCGTTGCTGAATTTCGCATGGTTGTTCCTAGTCGCCTCGGAAGGGTATGCAAACCAACGTGCTGTGGAGGAATCCGGTACTAGTCCATACTAGTCGCCCTCATTCGGCTTCGGGATGCCGTCTAACTCATGCAAAGAATGACTCGTGATCCATCCGCGCTACTCCAGTCGCTGGAACCGGCCTCAGCCGGCATCGGCCCATCACTGGGGCCAATGTCTGGTAGGATCTTGGTGAGGTCCTTGCATCGGCTCACTTCGATGGAAATAAGGGTGAAGCGTTTGGGGGCTTGACGAAAACATATGGCAACATGGAAAGGCAAGCATGTAAAAAAGGTCAAAGAGTTGGTTTTGGACCATTGAGGCTGTCTCAATGTTGTCAATTGCAAGCCTGACAGCATGTTGACCGTCATGCTGACACAACACCGGCACGATTACCCCTCAGATTGCTGTAGCAACCTCGCACAAAAGTGGAAGGTCTCTGTGACAAACTCCCCAAATAGTCCAAGCTGCTGACCATGTTGCCTGCAACTTGACACATTTACTGATCGAGTTACAGGCGATGAGGGACTCGCTCTCACAGGCGTGATCCGGTGGCAGCTCAACTCCGGACCCGCATTGCCATTGAAGCCGACAAAAGTTTTGGCAATCGACATGTTAAAAGCATAGATGCCCTGTTGGGAAACATAGGGCCATCGATGTTCAAGCAAAGTCACCCAAAAGGGCACTTCTGGTTTGAAGGTTCGTCCAAGCGGCTTTGGGGATCTGGTACTTCAACATCGTCTCGGCGATCTTGTCCAAGAGCTCAGGCACCGGCCCTCAGAAATGGAAGCTGAGAACTCCATAGAACTCCCCATCCTTCAACGATCTGATAACATCCCCAACAGAAGATGCGGTCGCATAAGGTTTGGGTTGGGATCATCTATCTGATCCCAACTCGAGGGAGCACCGAGGCGCCCGTGTCGCCACATCAACACGAGGTCAGTTGCCCTGCAGTTTGGCCTAAGACTTGGTCACTTATGAAAGAAGGGGAACAATGGCGTTCATCTTGAGTTGCAGTCAGCATCTACAGCTGCCAGGTTGGGTGCAAGTCACATTGAGACACGGAATGGAAAAGGTTTAACCCCAAGAGAAACTGGGTCTTTGTCCATGCACGCGATGAACTGAAGGCAAGTCTTCATCTCCCAAAGGGTTACAATTGATGCCCCGAAGTAGACATCTGGAGGCTCGATTGTGTATTTGCCTCAGAGACCAGGGACAATGGGCTGAACGATGTCGCGCGCGCGCGCGCGCGCAGCTTGACAGCTCTCCCGCTGACTGACAGCGGAGCGCTGCTAATCCGAGCTCCGTGCGCATAGCATAACCATGGCCCTGCTCGGCCAAAATTTCGCCATCTGCGACGTCCTGCTACGAGATGCGGCGATGGGCGGGGAGTAGACTCGAACGGAACAGGCACTGTTTACCCTCACAGCCCTCGGAAAGAAAGGTGATGAGATTCTAGGCATTGGCACCACCGCATTGTCGGAGTCCTGTCAGGCAGTTCGCAAAGACTGGCTAAACCCACTCGGTAAAACTCAGGGATAGACACTAATTAATTTGGGCCCTGGCTTGGAATAAGGTGCCCAGGGCACTGCAGGTGATCAGGTCAGTTGGCCCTTTCCCAAATGAGCAGCCCCCCCAAACCCATCTTTTGGTTCCACCACAATGTTTACAGGGGTTTCTCGAGGCCTCTCTAAAATCCCAATTTTGGCCAGCAGAACCCTGCCTAAATGGGGTTCTATGCTGCTCAAATAAAGAAATCAAGGGGAAATTCATGTGAGCAGCTGGCACGTCGCCCTTTTTGAGATCCGCTCTCTCTGATCCGCCGATGCCAGCTCAGGCAGCATGGAGTCCTGTTCTCTCGCTGACAAAAAGCCTTCCTGGAACCTTACCGAAACCTTCCAGCCACCTGCCCCAGAGTAGCCTTGTTTGGGGCTTTCTGCAGGTTGCCGACGGTGGCTGTTCCCTCAATTCCTGCTGTTTAGAAGGGCGGGAACTTTTCGGGGTCAGGTGCGGGGGAGACAACATCGGACCCCCCGTCCTTGGGTTTTTAGAAGGAGCCTTTGGCTTCTCCCCAACAAGAACTTGCAAGTTGTATCTGATACTCTGCCAAACTCTTACAGGCATATCCATCCTAAAGGATCAAGCTGCAAGAAGAACATGTGCACCTGCAGCGAGCGGCAGCGCAGCAGCGCTTTGGCTGCCTGTCATTGATGCATGAGGAACGACTCTTGATTGCCCAGTGTCTGCTGTTTATTGATGTTCCTGCTTCGTTGTTGAAGAATCCAATTCCCACCATATAGCGGTTGGCGTCATTTGAAGGGCGGAATTCTCACGCCGGTTTCCATCAGAACATGCTCCACGGGGACCCTAGTGCAGGAAAGGAAAAGCGTTCAGCAAATCTGAAAACAGGGTGCCAACTCTGAAGCTGGCACTTGCTCGCACTTCATGGGGCCCAGCCTGCATCAGTGAGCAGAGGCAACCGGAAAGCAGTCAACGGAACACAACCCCTGGACTCGCCCTAAACATCCTGTGCGTTTGATCGGGTGATTCTATCGAGGGCAAAATCCAAGGATCTCCCAAAACATTTCAACCGAATATGCCGGTGCCACTGCGGGCCTTTCACAGCGTGTCGACAAGTCGACTTGAAATTTGCAGGCTGGCCAATGTCAAGTATCTACGCCTTTTGTGTACGCTTTGGCAATTGTCCTCCGAGCTGTTTCAAATAACTCACATGTTTGGATTATGCTTCTGACAACAATGTAGCCAAAGGCCTTCGAGAATCGCATTGGGCTGCTTTACCAGCCCCGTGACCGTAGATTGGGTACTCCACTTGGCCAGCTAGTGCGAATACATCAATGACCACATATTATGCAGGTCACCCGACCATAACCACCGATTCAAAAGCACACTCCGAAATCTGCAAAACGCAAAATGTTTCCCACTTGCAGGACTTCAACCAACAAAACATGTATGGTGCTGAGCACATCGCACACAGTGGACATAATCATGTGACAAATGTTCAACAAATGCTTCCCCAGCGGCTCGTCGGCTTCGTGGAGAAAGAAACGGTTAGCGGAACCTGACCGTTTTGCTCCCAGCCCGTGATATGCCGACCAACCACCCCACCACCCCACTTAATTAGCAACCAACCAACCAACCAACCAACCAACCAACCAACCAACCAACCAACCGACCGACCGACCAACCGACCGACCGACCGACCAATCGACCGACCGACCGACCAACCAACCACCTTACCCACCCACGCCAATCCACCAACTCACTGGACCGAGGATCAAACCCAAGCACGCGCCTGGCAGCAGCTCCGCAGCTCCTCCTCCGTGAAGGCTTCCAGGCGCTGCAGCAGCAGCGCGCAAAGCGGGTCAAACCTCGTCCAAAGGCCCAAAGCCAAGGGAAAAGTGTCACTGCCAATGTTGGGTGCCTGCGATGGGGGGAAAAGTGATACCTGTAGCGGTGTTGTTCCTTTTCATGAAGGCCGTTTGGGCTTGTACTTGCAGTATCGGACACACAAAGCTGTGCCACACCGAAATGAATTTGCCCACGTTGGCTTCCTGGCTTCCTTTTGTTTTCCCTTGGCCCGGACCCGGAACACGGTGCACCCAACTGCTGCTGCGCGTCAGGTCTCGCGGCCACTGCGTGTCGCCCTCGCCGGCGAGGGAGGCCAGGGCCTGGCGAACATGGGATACCCATTTGGCTAGGTTGCCTTTCTTTAGGTTAAGGAAATCCGAAAGGAAACAAAATTTGAAACCTGAGGCCTGAGACTATAACTTGTATCACCCACATGGAACCTTGCAGGCGTTCTCAAAAGGAAAGTGGTTTCCGGGTACATTCTGCTAGTTGGGAGGGAGGGTAAAACTGAAAGCTTGCGCTGTTTCAGCCTGACCAGCTTATGGGTGCAAGTAATGGCCCAGTGGAGGCTGAAGTCTTGACACCGGGCGGTTCCAATGTGAGGAAAGTGGCATCCAGAGTTTAAGCGAACCCCTCTCAATATTGCATAGGGCACATACCATGCACAAGGCACAATCCCTCACAAATATCTGGGAAGCTTACAAAGGAAGTGGGAAATCCCTTGTGACGCTTGTGACCTCGGCCTTTGTCTCTGGTGTCACTTACTATCAATGACCTGGTAAGGTTTGTCGGTAGGAACAAAGGGATCGCCTTATCCGCAGCCCATGCCCATTTGAGCCATGGTCAAAACCTCCTGATGTGTGTTATGAGGGTTGCGGTCATGCTTGGTTCCCTCCGGAATTGTCATGGTTCTCCAAGTCTCTAAGTTCCATATTCAGGGGTCGACCGTCGTAACCAACCAAGCGAAAGGCTGCGTTTCCCGCTCGCCTGCAGGGCGCTGACCACTTCTCCCGGCTGGAGCTCATTGCAGCGATGCCCTAAACTCTCAGCAAGGACTCGACAAAGAAGACAGGAGCTGAACCTGTGACCCATGTCAAACCCACAGGAGTCATTTTAAAAACCGTATTAAATCTGTCGACCCAACACCATGAAATATGATTAAAGGGCGGCAGATTATTCTTACGGTTGGGACTATCCCTTGCTGACCGAACCTTCGTCTACCCAGGTTTTCTCGCATTTGGTATGGAGACACCCAAACAACAGGACCACGGTTCCAAGACCCGTGTTTTTTGGGGGGAACACACATTCATCTGCAAGGTTTACGAGACGGGGTGAATATAATATAATCGGTATCATTCCTGCCGCAGCCTGCAGCGAACTCTGCTTGCACAAGTTGTTAGAGCTGCGCAAATTGCAAGTGCTCAGGCGAGATAGTTTTCTAAGGACGTAGATGTGGCTGCTCCCTTCACTATAAAACAAATGTTTGGTGCGGTGTCGCGCTGTTCAGCGCGGAGGGGGCACATTAGCTTCTGGAGTGAATGCTTATAGAGCAGTGATGAAATACAGAGCGAAAGTCGTGCCTTTGTTGTACTGGTTGGATGCCAGAATCACCCAGCCGCTCATCAAAGGTCAGGATGCTCTGCGCCCGTCGCAGCAAATCTCTCGGGGACAGGCCCGCTGCATGGGGTTTGCTTGTCAGATGCTCCGCCACATCCGCTAGGAGCACCGCGCCCTGCTCGCACGGGGGAAGCCGTGCCGCGGCAACGCACAGGTTCGTGACGTCGGCCACAGGGGCGAGCCGGTCCAAAAGCCCAGAACGCGCCTGCTGGAAGAGCTGATTTAACAGGCCAGAATGCGGTCCAGAGGGCGCTTCACCACCGCCGCCTCCCAATCTGCCACCCAATTCCAAACGCACTATGGCAGCCAGCAGCTGGGAGATGTCCGTCAATGCAGCATCTGGCAAGGTTTGCCGAGTCTGGGAAAGCAAAGCGTCCACGCTGGCCTGATGTGGCGCATAGCCATGTTTGCTAAAGGCCTTGAAGAGCATTGCAACATCATTGGCACTCATCTGCGCCACGCCCAGCTTCTGAACGCCTTCCTCCTCAAGCTCGGCCTCAGACACCAGCACCTCACTCACCGCTGCCAGCAACTCTGGATCGCTGCAGCGTGCACGATGAAAGCCAAAAAGAGCGCGGCATAGCTCCGAGGGGGTCAAGGCCAGCATCAATGACTGCGAGAGAGCATCAACGAGTGCCAAAAATGTGCTTTCCAAAGACCTAGAACATGTTTTCCTGCTTTCCTTTATGGGCTTCCGGTCATAGAGCGTTCTCCCTGCATCTTCCCACTTCTGCCCCAAAAAGACAAGCTGCTTAAGCCCAACCAACTCTAGCTAACCCAAAACATGGGGCTTCCTTTTGGGGTCGTTTTGACGGGAGACTAAAGGAAAAGCCACCCTGGAGGAAAAGGAAAAACCGCAAAAGGGAAAACCACAGGGTTCCAAAATAACCAAAGCCAAGAACCTCATGAATCCTTGCCTGGCACCGGCAGCTGAGCCGCTCCCACAGCCGCCTGCGCGCCTCGTCTTCCGAACCTAAAAGCCCTGCACCCGCGCGAGCAGCGCCGTCCACTGCGTCCAGCAACTGCCTGCCAGGAGGGGTGGTGCGGGAGGTTCCCTTCTGGGTATGTTGAAGCGAAACAAGGCAAACTGGGCCGGGCCCCTTTAGGGATTCCATTGTCCTTTGAGACAACCCAAAGGGTCCCCCAAAGTCCTGCTCCCTCCAAAATGGCAAGGTTCTCAGTCGAGTGGAAAATGATTCCGGTTCCCTTCTGTGAGTTTCCCCAAGTGATTGATTCTCATCGTGACCACACCTTCATTTTAGGATTTTCCTTGATCAGCCTTCCATCTCACATCGTTCCATTCCCCTCCCTCCCTGACCCCCCCCCGCAATTTCCCACAAAATGGTTGGTGTCCTCGTTTCCCTTGAGAAAACCCACCAAAAGCGGCGTTTTTTTCAAAAGACGACACGCTCACATGGGCCACTCCTGGGCCCCATGGTGGCCGTTGCGCCCCACGCCAGCACTGGGTCCAGCACCAGGATGCCCCGGGACCGGACCCGGCGCTGTCCCAAGCAGCGGCATCCCAAACGCAGCGCCATGGCACGAGGCCGGCGCCAAGTCGTGCAGTCCCCGCCTTGGGGGCCAACACCTCTCTGGTTGCGTTGGACGGGAAACTGACCGGCCCCCCCCTTTTGCTTGGGAAGCGCCTCATGGGTGTTGGAAACTGGAAACTGGAAACAGAACAAAAAGGAAGACCTGTTTCAGAGGGAAGCTTTGCTTTTTGAAGGGAAACCACAGTTGGCCCCGCTGGCTTCGCCCCTGTGAAATCTTCTGATGCACATTGAATTCAAAGCGCAGTACTCCGTACCATGTACCTAGCACGCTAAGACATGTGTGTGTGTGTGTATTGTATAACTGTATAATATGGTTGAACAGTGATATAGTTATGACGGCCCATTTCGCATGCCTATTGTGAGTATTGCAGTGTGTCTGCCTCAAGTTGAACTGATTGATGCAAAATTGTGACAATCAGGGTGTTGGACATGATTTGCTGGGTGAATGTATTAACCCACCCACGCATCTCCCGAACCCCAAATGGGCCGTGTTTCTACCTAGCCACTGGTAGATGTGTCAGCTGTTGAGCCCACCAACAGGCAACTGCTTCTAGTGTCAACCAAACACAGCAGGCTGCAGCATACACATTCACCCAAGCGCCTCGTCTGTGCTGCGCACAGAAACCACCTTTTGGTGTTGGGGGTCTATACTTGCAGGAGGAAACCCAAAGTACAATTCGAGGGTCATGGTCGTGGTTCCCTCATTAACTATTGCAGTAGGGCCAGTAGGTACCAGGGCCTACTCCTACAAACAGGGGTTGATGTAAAAGGGGTAAGTCATGGCACCATGCTTCACCATGTCAGCATGTTTCTTCAAATTACCCTTTCGTAGACATCATTTTCATTGGGAGGGTACCGTATTTGAGGGATTCCAACCGAGCATCCCAACCCACACCTTGAAACACTCGTGGCTTTTGACTGCGACAGGTTTTCTCTCCTCCAACGGCACCCACTCAAAGCTCTTGGTGTAGGGCTCCCAGGCCTGGCCAAGGCTCAAGGCTTGCCATGGCACCGGGCCCCATTTTGAGGGTCCGTTTGGAGAGCATAGAACCTGGGTAAACCTGGGTCCCTTCACGAGAGAACTTTATCTTCCAGGTCACATCCTACGTCGATGGGAGGGGAGGTGCCGGAGAACGCTTCGAAGCCCTGCTACTGTGTAGCCCTGGCCTCCATCATGCTTGGCTCAACGAGGTTGTCTTCGTCATGTGACACGGCTACTACCTGACTCAAGCTGGCGAAAGAAGCGAGCCGACATACAAAGGGTCTCGAAAGTAAAAGCATACCCATCTGCTGTAGAATCTGTTGGACAAATAATGCATGGGCTATTTGGCACGCGACAATCTCTCCGAGCTTTAAACACGTGCGTACAGTGCAAATCTTGGCCCCAAACAGGTATGTGCACGGCGCGATCGTCTTCCTTAGAGGTCGGCTCTACTGCATCCCAATGCGGACATCGCCACCTTTCACAGTAGCAAATGGGCTTGGCATCGCACGTGCTCAAACAGATAGGACTGCAGGACCTTCAGGTCGTTGAGAATCGCCTGCCAGAAAACCGGCAGGTCAGATTTCAGCACACTGATGGAGATCTTGTGTCCTGATGTTCTTCGATATGCATGATGTTTTGCCGACGATGCCTTTGAGACCCTTTCACTTTCATGCTGGCACGTCTGTTCCACTTGCGGTCTACCAGGCCAGGTTGGTGTGTCTCCGAACCGCGCCTCCCCGCAAAAATGGTCTGATTATGTGCTTTTTCACAAGGTGCAAGACTCACTGCATCTCAGGCCTTGCGATGCAGGTCGCGACCAGCCTGGAGCATTTGTTCCGTGGGCACTAGGGCAGGTCACCATTGAAAAACACAGCTTGTCAAAGTCAACCTTTGCCAAAGGGTTGTCAGTCATAAACTCTTTGAGATTTCCGCAAGACAAGAGTCAACTCCAGTCTCCGCCTAAGGCGGGTTATGCGTTGATGTGTTGCTTCCACCATCAGTCTATATATTATGTTAAAGTCCCCTGGCCACCAACCCCCCCCCCAAAGGGTAGGGCCCCCCCCGACCCATTCCAACCCCAAACCAATCCTACGCCCTTAACCTTAACCCTAAACCAACCCTAAATCAACACTAAACCAACCCTAAGCCAACCGCCCAAACCCACCCAAACCCACGTAAACCAACCCTAAACCAACCCTAAACTAACCCTATACCCACCCTAACCCCACCTAAACCAACCCTAAACCAAACCTAAAGCAGCCCCAAACCAACCCTTTAACCCAACCCAAAACCCACCCTAAACCAACCCTACACAACACACCCCAACCACCCCCCCCCCCCCCCCCAACCTGCCCCCACACAACGGGGGGGGATTGAGGGGGAAGGGGAGAATTCCATGACCTGGAAGAATCGATCATTCCGGGCGCTAGCCTTTCAAACATGGCACCTGTTGGGCTCAACAAGTGCGTCTGGATCCGCGCTTTGACCCCGACCACGTTGATGCTGGGGGTAAATGTGAAGGACAGCCCTGGCACGTAGAGGAAGCTCACAATAATTTGGACTCTGACTCGGGCAGTGACCTTTGCACCGGAGTGATTCGTCCCCACAAAGCCCGTCAAGACTTGCTCGGAGACTCCTTCCTTCGCCGCATTCACTGCCAAAGTCTGCCGAGTAGGACATTGTGCGTGGAGCACCGATTGTCCACCGACACATTTGCCACCCGGATGAAACCCATGAAGCTTTTAAGAGTTACCAACAGCCCAGTAGTGGGATCCTGAGCCACCTTGGTACGAAGACGGACCGCTCTTGTCCACAAGAATCATCAACTCTTCAACCTTCAACTGCGGCCTTACACTGCTCTGAGCTCTGGAACACGAAAGCTTTGGTCCAAGAGTACCCCCTTCTTCGCGAGTCTGGTGGCACAGCGGAAGTAGTTGAGCCCGAGGAATGAACCTGAACCGAAGGAAATGGAGCTGCGACCGCAATCACGGCCAATTGGTCCATGTTGCTGCACGGACTCCGGTGAGCTTCAGGTTTGCCATGGCCTTCTTGATGCGCTACAATGGCCAGGGGGGTTGAAAACTTGCGGGCCGATTTTCGGCAGAGCTCAACGCAACATCAACCTCACGCTGCAAGTTCCCCTGCAACTCCCTTCCCTTGGAATCCCATTCGTCCCAGACCTCCTCCATGAACTGACGGTTCTTGTCATAGAGTTCGTTCAGGTTCACACCAGCTTCTGAGTGGGGCAGCAGATCGCAGCAATGGCCGAAGAACGAGCAGAAGCCCAGAGAAGAGCATCATAAGCAATGCGGCGAGGCCACGCGGGCGGCGCCCATTCAAACCGCCTGCATCTCTACGGCCTTCGTCGAGGCCTTCGCCCACAGCGTAATCACGGACGCCACTGCTTCTAGCGGCGTAGCTTCCTCCAGCATCCCACACAACTCGTCCCGCAATGCCAGGGCTCGCTTGAGCGACAAGCAGCTTGCGAGCCAAATCTCCAACCAGTTCTTCGGGAACAGGCGTTGGACATTGCCAAGCAATTGATGGAGGTCATTTCAAAGCAGCGCTCCGGACAACGAATGGCCAGCCGCAAGCCTTTTCAATTTAGAACCACTTGTTTTGGCTGGAAAGTTCATTTGCAGCACAAAACAACACAATTACCCGTTATATAAGTCTTTGGTGAGCATCCCCAAAACAGCGCGCGCGCCTGGAACTGCGCCTGAAACCTCAGGGCAGATGCCTGTCCCTCAAGGAGCCGTCTTCCAATTATCGTGGAAGTGGAAAGAGGCCTTCTCAAGAGGTTGGTGGTCTTTTAGGTCTTCAAAACCCGCTGAAGGCATGCGACTACGTGGCACGCTTTTTAAAAGGTCTTCCGGAACCCCCAATCAGGTTGCACATTAGCTGACGCTTTTGCTTGAGGGAGAAGACCTTGGGCCATTGGGGTTGCGTACAAGGGACGCCCATTGACTATCAAAGGGAGAAATATTGTTGAGATTCCTCGCTGGAGAGAAATGTAAGATTTTTGAACTCTGAGATGCATTGCCCTCGAGCGGAGTGCACCCCTGGACTTTGTTGAGATTGACGAAGGCTGCCGTTTACCAATGTCTGTGTGTGTAAGGTGTGTGTGTGTGTGGTGCTTGTGGTGTGTGTGTGTGTGTATGTGGTGTGTGTGTGTGTGTGGTGTGTGTGTGTGTGTGGATGCCTGCGCGCGCGCGCGTGCACGTGCGCGCATGCGCGTGTGCGTGTGCATGCGTGCACGTGCGCACGCGCGTGATTGCGCGCGTGGGTGGGTGTTTGCGTGCGTGCGTGCGTGCGTGCGTGCGTGCGTGCGTGCGTGCGTGCGTGCGTGCGTGCGTGCGTGCGTGCGTGCGTGCGTGCGTGCGTGCGTGCGTGCGTGCGTGCGTGCGTGCGTGCGTGCGTGCGTGCGTGCGTGCGTGCGTGCGTGCGTGCGTGCGTGCGTGCGTGCGTGCGTGCGTGCGTGCGTGCGTGCGTGCGTGCGTGCGTGCGTGCGTGCGTGCGTGCGTGCGTGCGGGCGGGCGTGCGTGCGTGCGTGCGTGCGTGCGTGCGTGCGTGCGTGCGTGCGTGCGTGCGTGCGTGCGTGCGTGCGTGCGTGCGTGCGTGCGTGCGTGCGTGCGTGCGTG